CAATCACATGGTCTCTGTCATTGATTACTTCAAAACATCAACAATAGTTCCTTATGGATTCAACTCCGGACTTAATCGGATTATTACTACAGCTTGACTGTATGCACTTGAGTGTACACATTTTGGATCAAGTCATGGTAGACATTCCCGTCCAAAAAGTATCTTTCACAAAGATCGGCACCAAACGACCCCTCTCACTGTATAGTTTGCATTTTCACCTTGCATCTTTAAGCAGTAATTATGTATCGCAGAAGTGTCTCCTTCCACAAGCGTCTCCTTATTTTGTCAATGTAGTTTTTACAATCCTTCTCTGAAAAAGAGATATTCTCATGCCCCCTACTTTAACCACAAATGAATTAAAATTTTTATTTATTCTAATCCCCGCCCTATCATTCAATTCAAACTTCTTTTTTACATTTGGTCTCATCACTCGATTGCAACGAAAGAATCGAGCTTTGCTTGGACTCACCTCATGGTTATGATCCTGCATGACAATGTTCAGTCGCCACTTTCTATCAGCTCATAAAATTGCTAGGACCTTAGCCTTATAGCCTGTTATGATGCTTAGACGCTATTTGAAAGGATTTTTGGAATTGTACTCTGACTTTCTTGATCGAGAACAACAAATCGTCAAATATTTCAACTCACCATCATCTCCTTTTGCTGATGATCTTATCTTAACTAGGAACCCCAATCGCTTGACATAATCTGTGTAATAGTCAAACAACTCTTTTTTAATTTCAAACATTATCCCAACCTTAGGCTCATCTACGTCGATCATATTCTGTATTTTAGTCTCAACATTTTTATCAATCATTTGAAAACTACTTGAACATTCTCCTTCCATTCTAAAAAAAATTAACCCCACCAAGTGCCTCTTTGATTAATCAGAGATTTCTTAACCACAATATATGTCTGAACATCACAAGAAAAATAATATGTTTATGCTCCAAATTATTAAAAAGTAAAAAGATGCATTAAACTTATACGAAAATCAGTTTTTCAATGAATTCACATCTAAGACATCCTAAAACAATAGACATAATTAATCTTAAGTAAAAAATCTAGGCTTGACAAATTCATAACAAAAAAGCAATATGTTGTCACAGTAAAGCAACAAAGGAAACAAAGAAAGATGGGGACACTTACAAAAAACTTGATTGAAGCAATTGTTTACTCCAAAGGCTTCGAACGATTGTCTACTCCAGCGAAGAGGTAAAGAGGGGAGGAGAAGAGTGATCGAAGCAAATGTTTACTCCAAATCTTGATTGAAGCCTCGAAAGACGACTTTGTTCATGGCCAACGTCGATTGTCGAAGTTGTGAAATTCTGGCAGCACTCTGAGTGTATTCTGTGGGCGAGTTTTGGCGTAGGGAAAGGGAGGCTTACAGAGAGGAAAGAGGGCAGAGGGAAGATTGTAGGGTTGGGTCTGGAGAGAATCTGACAATTCAAGAAGAGTTCCAAATCTTGATCGAAGCTCTCAAAAGACGACTGTGTTCGATTGTCAGAGTTGTGAAATTTCGGTGGCACTCTAGACGTGTACTGTGGGCGAGTTTTGGCGTGGGGAAAGGGAGGGTTACAGGGAGGGAAGAGGGAAGATGGACGGGTTGGGTCTGGAGAGAATAAAATTTGATCTTTTGTCTTTCATTAAAATTTGTTTTTTTTTTGGGAAAGAAATTGATGACATGGCTGGTATACATCAGCAGCCAAATCATCAAGTCTATATTTTAAGTCTAAGTTTTAAGTCTGTCTAGCATTACTCATTCTATATATGGATATAAATAGATATAAAAGATAAAAAATTTTAATATTAGTCAAACTCCTAAAATATAGAGTTGTTAGTTTTTAAAGTTATTTTAATTAAACACAACTATTAGGGGTATTTTGGACAATAGAGATAAAAATTGACTTAAAATTAAACAAGTTTTCTTAATGGACTTATCACCAAATAAGTCCAAAAAAGGGGACCAGCCTCTAAATTTCTTTCGTTTTTTTTACCAAGTTATTAGAGAAGACCGAATTAAACACCTTGATAATGCTACTGGAAAAGACAAATCCCATATAACTTGGGGATTACTTCTTCGAAGTAAAAACCACCATTAAAAGTCTATCACGTGTAGGACTTTTTCAACTTATTCCAAGCAGGCTCAAATTAGTATTTTACGTCAATAGTCTTCCATGTGACGAAGATGTCCAAGAGTTTGTGTAAAAGACAAACTCAAATTAATACTCCATGTAATATTTGGAATACGAGTCATTTATTAACAAAATTTTAAAAAATAAATTTTGTACTATGCACCTAGTAAATGAGGAAAATAGTTACCTCAAGTCCAAAAGCTACTGAGTATGAAAACTACTTTATAATTAAATAGGTAATTGTTATTAAACACAACCCATACCATTAAACAAATAATAAAATAAAAAGTTCAATTTTAAAATCAAAAATTCCAAAATCATTAGGTTTTACAGAGTAACGCAATACAAATAATAAAATAAAAAGTTCAATGATCCAGTTAGAGTTAAAAAAGACATTTAATGACAAAATTCAAAGATCTTATATGATTCCAAATTTAGCAAGAAGAACGAGAAGACTGCAAGTAAAAAAACCAACAATGTATTTTAAATAGCATGAAAAGGTACAATAATACTGAAGTAAACTACTACAATGGAAAAAATTTGAGAAGTTTTAGCAAGTTCAAGACTAAAATTGAAATATGGGATCAAAGGAGTGCCTACTAGTCCATAACCAGTCACACAACTCCAGTTCACTAATTTTTATATCTTGCTTCATCTTTGCTTTCCACCTATGTACATAGAGAGAATTTGTATTAAAAAAAATAATTTCACCACACACTTTGTATGTAAGATCACGGTTTATCAAAATAATATGACAAAACTATACAATTCATAGTTTGTACTCCAAAAAGTTGTAAAGATATATAAATTAAAAATTAAAAAAAATTACATATAGAAGCCAAGCCAAACCTTTCTAAAAATGAAGATCGAGGAAGGAGGGAGGCGGCCGAGAGCAACGGAACCTCGAAAGAGAGGTCACCAAGTTAGAACAACTAATTTATGAACTCATCGTCTTTTAACAAGAAAGACTAGTACTCAAGATTATGTTAGCATTATATGACCACAAAAAGGTATTAGAATCCGAGTCTCATGTTCATTTCGTCCAAGCAAGATGATTACAAAATAAACTATTAATATATCATATCACATACACAATAATTGAAATAAATTGACATACCCTTTAAAACCATGTGAGTAAATATTTCAGAGTTGGTAAAAGGAATAAAATTCTTCCTCAAAAAGTTGGGTGGAAAAAAAATTTTGTGATCAATTAGGATTGTCAGATGAATAATAATCTTAAAGCAATCTCAGTCACAAAAAATTAAAGACATACGATGTTAGTTCATCGTCATATGAATAATCTTAAAAGAATCTCAACCGTAAAAAATTAAAGACAAACAATACTAATTCCCTTATTATATAAATTGTAGAAGAGTGGTTTGATTCATGGTTTATTGTGAGTGAACACAATAACAGGCGGTGTTGTCCTACCCGACCAGCCTAGCTAGAAAAATAACATGGCACTTCATTCTTTCTACCCAAAGGAATATCGGGTTGTCCATTAACCTAGCTAAGCTTCAACCGGCCATTGAGATTAGTGGGCCAAGAACAATTTTCTACATTGACAATTTCAAAAATTTGTGCATACTCTGAATATAGTATGATGAGATTTGGGAATGTATGCCTTCATCATCGGGTTTACGACATCTCTCTCTCTCTCTTTAAATTGTGATGGGTTGAATTCACATTGTATTGAATGCATATAAGTTGACTTTTTTGCAAATTTGAAGTGATTGTTATTGAATGACATTTGGTTGATTTTCTATGGAATGGAAAGAACATGAATGAATCCTGAGATCACCCCAAGCGATGGATTGAGATGTGCCAAGGTCAAAAGATTGTATAAATGGGTTTCTACAAAAGGGAGTTGAAATGGGTGGATGCTTGGATAGGGTAGGGGCCTACTATGAGGTAAGGACCCACTTGTACACAGTGAGTCTAACTTAAATGCATTGTAGATGATTCTCAAAAAATATATATATATATTTGTATATGTGATCCGGATGATGACCCGACCCGAAGTAATGTTGTGTGTTTTTTAATGGAAAATTTTCTGAGGTTTAGTCCATGGAGCGAAGGTTTGGAAAATTTTTTGGGCCCGTTATACAGCCCAGTGCGTAGGACATATAAACCCTATTGTTTTGGTGATTAGTGTCAATCGTGGATTGTACAACCGCTCTCTGTATTCAACTCTCTCAATAGTGAAATCCCTGCAGCTTTGTGGATATAGGCAAATTGCCGAACCACGTAAAATCTGTGTTTTTTCTTTCTTGTTTCTAATTGCTTTATATTCTTGATTTGTTTTTTGATTGTGTGTGTTTGTTAGTGAATTTAAATCGTGTTAAATCCCAACATATATATATCTATATATATATATTAAAAGTGATCTCAATCTAAGGAAAATATTAGTAAAGGTGAGGGCTGGGAAGAATATTTGTAGTAGGTGAGGTGGTTTAGTCAATAGATAGAGACAAAGTGAGAGAAGGAAGACGTTAGAGGTATTATAGTTATTTTACTCTTATCATTTACAATATTAATAATTCATATTAATCGAAAAGGACATTAAGATTGGCTAGTCAAATGAACCAATGTCTCAATTATGTGATCCACGTGATAGTATTATGTGATGCCCTTTGTTACTTTCATTGTTTATATTTTTTTTCCAATCTTAATGTCCTTTTCTATTTCACATACAAAATACAAAACAAATATTAATTTCATTCAAAGGAATATTACTTGATAGAACAAACGTTGACAATGATAAATTATTGAGCTTACATTTTTACAAAGAAACCGTAACGAACACGAAAATGAAAATAAAATGATAATTTGAAATAATTATTGATGGAGGGAGGACTACTTCTTCTAGCAATGGGGTAGATCTGGGGGAGGCGGAGGTAGGGTAGACGACGGTGTTCCCCCATTCTCCACAACGAAGGAGGTGGCGAGTCCCCATGGCAAGTGCACGTCCAAGTGACAGTGCATAAGCCAAACACCTGCAATGACCAAAAGTTTCAAAAACAAAAATTAATATAAGCATGGCATAGTTCGAATTTTGTAATCGACAATGTTGATTGAATGCTCACCTGGATTGTTAGCTTGAAATCTAACAACTGTCCACCCTCCGACCGGGACAGCTATTGTATTACGTTGTTGTGGATTGACAAGATTAAACTTTTTCCGATCGTTGACGGTATCAAAGTTGCCAAACCCTTGAGCCAACACATGGAAGTTGAATCCATGCAAGTGTATAGGGTGGTTTTCTACACCAATCAAAGCTGTGTTCTGCATCACCATCTCAACCGTTGAATTGAACTTAACTTTCTTCACTTTGGTTGACTTTGTTGTCATCACAAGTGACTGATTGAAGCTGTTATTTGCATTAGTGTAGTCAAATACCAATGGTGGTTGGTTAGGAAAATCAGTGGTGTAGATTCCATCAACGTTATTGAAAAAAGCTTGTAACATTGACAACTTGGTGGGGAATTGGAAAGATGCATTGTTCATGCTCGCAGCCAATCTTTGCCCAAGTGGGCCTGCACAAGTGGCATTTGCTCCACATGCAGCCAGGCCTAGGCCCACAGTGATAAACATGGGTTCATCCACTTTCAGTGGCACTGGGATCCAGAAGGGTGAAGTAACCAACCCAGTTAGATTGCTGTAGAACTTGTGGGCGGTAGGGGTGTCATTGAAGGCTGGTAGCACCGGCATTATGGGTTTGGACGAGGTGGCGCCGTCATAGACGATTATTCCGGTGGTGGTCGTGTTATCGACCAATACCCCAGCTGCGCTGGCATAGGGATGTGCTGCCATGTAGTAAGATGCCGGTGGCTGATCGGCGGTTAAGAGGACGTCAGTGGTCTGGCCGGGGGCGATTACGACAATGTCGGTGACATACGGGTTAGTGTAGGAGGCGTCAACGGCGACGACTGTCATTTTGTGGTTGGCTATCTTGAAGAATAATTGATTATTGAGTGCAGCATTGACGATACGTAGGAGATATGTTTTTCCTTGTACAACTTTAATCTTAAATGTTTCTGTAAAAAAAAAAAAAACACATTTGATTGTCATTTGTTAATGTAAGTGACAAACCACATGAAAATGAAAATGAACCTATTAAGTAGAAAAGTAACGTGCATGGGTGCCACTTACTAGATGAAGAACACGGGTAGAGATCTCCCGGCCGGCCATTAATGGTGAAAGCATTGGAGATGTTAGGAGCACCACCGCTGGCTAACCCTTGGTTTTCCACATCAATAACGTTAGCGTTCCACCACTCTCCTGCAATCACAATATTCATTGCTTTCCTCTGTTATATTTTGACGTGCTAATATTTTCTCGGTGTGCATGTTTTTTTTGCTATTCAGAAAAAGGGTAAGGGCAAAGGAGAGCCCTAGAAACACCCCGATAGATCTTTACTAGTGGAATTATGACTGTGTCCGTTACTTATCTCAATAACGAACTTAATTAGACTAGTATAGCGTTTAACCACTAAGTTTCAATGTGGACTCCGAGACTCAAATCTCTAATCTCAAGGTGAAAAGTTCGTTTGATTTTATTATTTTTTTGGTTGAGTGAGTATGTGGTTAAGGTTATTAATTGAGTTGATGTTGTGTACGCTCAAATTTAGTCGATTGTAAATGGTCAAACTTAACTATGGAACTTAGATTCTATTAAATCTAAGTTAAATCCCTCACCAAATATTTTAAACCAAAAAATAGTATATAGTTATTTGAGAATAACTCTAGGGTCCTACACAAGTCGAACTACATATTGATTAAATTTAACTCATTTACAAAACGAATTTAGAAATTTAGTCAAATTTATTTTATTTTACAATTCGAACGAGTACTAGTTGAGCTCAAATTCGTTGAAATAGGTAATGGATATGCATGTTACTTTTTCAAACTGAAAAGGTCTACTATGGTTCAAATTAAAATATATTATCTACACATCTTAGGTAATGGACTTTTTATTCTCTTCATTAAAGTTTACTCTCTCAACACGGTTGTCTTGGCAAAAAGTCTCGTTCTCGTTGTTGACTTTGTGTTGCAATCATGGATTATGAAGCGTGAAAGAAATTGAAAAACCAATAAACAAACAGAGACCACAGGATCGAATTACAGGACTTTTGTACCTAGAACAATTGGGACCTCCCTGTAGGGTTTTGGGAATGGATAAGAACGGCCAACTCTTGGCCGGATAATGAGTGCCCCATAAACTGTTGCTCTAAGCCATTGTACGTGTGCATGCCACCAGAGAGTCCCTTCCTGTCCGGTGATGGTGAACCTGTAGGTATAGCTATGTCCGGGCAGGATCGGACATTGAGTCGCATATTGCGGTCCATCGGCCCAGCCACTTAGTAGCTGGAAAATCCCATGCCTGCAAAAAACGAAAGACATGAATTTAAACATTGATAATGAGAGTTCTAATTATATAATAACAAGTAATACATATATAAACATTTCACTAGTTTGTTTAATTCTATATTTGTTTGAATGTCAAACAACAAAGTTAGACTTTGGACACTAGAACATTATGGGGGAATATAGAACGTGGTCTACTTGTCATGACAAGAAGCTTAGTCTATTCTTGAAATATTGTTGGGGCTCATAAAGAATCCCTAATAGGACCATTAAGTCGACCAGAAATAAACACAAATCGTAATTTAGTAGAATCATCTTACGTTTTTAAAAAATAAGTTATATATAAATAGAGTCACGCTTCAACACGATACGACTTCGATACTGAATAATACATGATTCATAGTAATACTCATTAAAATTGACAAGTCTTATTGTCACCATATATTGTCTAAGGCCATTGGTTTATAACTATGGATTGTAGGAGTTTTGATGAAAACAGATGGAGTATTAGTAAAAGAAAAAGGATATGTGCTGGTGTCAAAGTTACAACAATCAAAGAAACCACTGATTTTAAATTTCTTAGTTTTGAAATGTAGGGCTTACCAGTGAATAGTAAGGTTATATGGTGACAAGTTGTAGACATGAACAACAAGGGTGTCGCCCTCTCGAACGCGTATCCTCGGTCCTGGAAGGCTTCCATTTACAGCAGTGATCACTCGCTTTTGGCACAGCCGCTGGATAGTCAGATTTTGCACCTGAGAAAATGAAATTTTCAAGAGTTATTACACATTTAGTATAAAAAGAGGGGAGAGAAAACCACATTTTTTTTGGAAGAAACAGTGTTAGACGTGCTTCCATGCATCTGTTTCTTTCCAAAGGCATAAAAGTATTGTTTCTTTCAAACAATATGGGTCGGATTGAGCTCTTGCAGTTACGATTGGTGTATGATGTTGGGTAAAATACGAGGGACTAAATGATATATAAGCTTGAAGAAAATCAACAGGAGTTAGACCAAGAATCAAATAATGTTGAAGCTGAAATTCGAAGAATGCTAAATTCTGTAACATTTCATTCGATTTATTGTGTACTCTTAATTGGCTCTCTATTGTGGAAACTTTGGTTCTTCCATGGATTCTACCCCAATTCCACTCATACATTTAAATTAGTTTTTTTTATTACAGGGTGTGCAAGATTGTGCCGACTACTCCCTCAGGTTTTAAGACTGACTACCGTAGCTTGACTGAAGAACAATGGTGCCTTACCCTTATAGGGTGTGAGAAGTATCAAACCTACGATCACCGTAAAGGTTATCATTTAAATTATTATTCTCAAGACACAGCTGAAAATTGAGAAAGAAAAAATGGAACAGCAAATCGAAAAGAGTAAGAGATGTTACATGGAATGAATGCTCAACAATTGCAGCAGAAGTAAGTGTTGAAGCCAGAAGAGCTAAAGCGCATGCCAGTAAGTACACCACCCGACGTGCCATGGCTAATAGAGGGAGCTATGAGGGGATGAGGAAATGAAGCCAGAAACTCTACGTCTTATATGAAAGTTCCTTAGAACGTGACAATATGTTTTATCTCAAATCCTCTTTGTTGCTTTAGATTTGCTTTCCGTGAAGTCTCTTTATATAATGCTCGTAGCTCCAAGAGCCTTAGCCTTGCCCCCCCCCCCCCCCCCTGTGCCGTGGGAATTAGTTTAAAGAGTTAATTGCAATGAAAGTCCTCAAAGTATAGAATTATTTTATTTTAGTTCTTAATATTTCAATTGCATTATTTTAATCTCTGAAGTATTGAATATGTTTTTATGTGATCTCCCAAGCAGATAGCGTCTAGATTGCTAACGATTTTTTTATTATAAATCTGTCACGTAATACTTAAATATGGGCAAAAATATAATTTGGATAACTCGTGATCAAATTTCTATCCCAATTTTGGTCAAACAGTTAGTTAAATTACACAGTTTTGATCATGAACTATCCAAATTTTGGTCAAGAGCTAACCATATTACACATATTTTAGTCAATAGCTACCCAAATTTTAGAGAAGTGCTATCCAAATTAATTATTTTTTTACTCATATTTAAGTATCATGTGACAAATTTATCATAAAAACCCACAACAATTTCAATGTTGTTTGCTTGAGAAACTGCATAGAAATATATTCAACACTTTACGGATCAAAATGAGATAAATTTTATACTTTGGGGGTCTTTAGTGTAACTAACCCTAGTTTAATCTTGAAAGTGCCTGTGGTTTTATATTAATGGAACTTTCGTTATCTAACAGCTTGAGTTGGCGATCAAGAAACTGCATAAAATAAAGCAAAAGTCATCAAATCCTGGTTGTTTGAACAAGTTTAAGCCCTTTGAAATTGGTTATTTTGACTGCCTCCATTTTCTTGGTTTTTCCTTTCACATGAATCACGCAAATGGAGTTATTACAGCTTCACAAGTAGTTGAGGTTTGCTTACTGTTTGTTGAGCAATCAAATTTTAGTTGAACATTACTATTTTCAAAAAGGACTCAATTTATTTTTTAATTTTTTTTGTGCTTAAGGATTTTTTTTTTCTTTTTTGAGTAGAGGCTTTCAGGTTTGCTCTGAGGAACGAAAAACGTCTGATGATTAAGAGAAATTTCACATTCCAATCAATATTACATATACTATACCACTTGAAGTTGAAGAATATGTCAAAAAATAACTTTTTTCAAATGACAAGCACAACAAATGGCACTAAAAACTAAGTAATGAGATGTGGGATTTTGGCAATAATATAGATTACAGTCTTGACAAGTTACAGTTTTAACATTGTAGAGAAGATATAGTGAAATAAAAGCATACAATTAGTCTCAATTAAACGGAACTGTGTAGGAGCAGACTATCCGCTATCAATCCGTTAGGGCATCATTTCATACTGAGGGAACATCATAGTTTGGTTGTTAGATTACTGCAGATGATTTTATGTCATCCTTAAGAATGTTGGGTTCTCTTCATTTCTTCCTCCATAAAAACTATTTTTTTTTTGGGGAGGGATAAGAGGAGGGGAGAAGGGGACTTGAATCTTTGATTTAAAAAAGGTGAAACTTTTACCAGATAAAAAGTTTCATTGGACTAAAGACACGTTGGTTCATAAAAACTAAATAAACAAGGGTTGCTAAAGTTAATTATCAAATGTTTAACAGTTAAATGATCGCTCTTTATGACATTTTTAAGTAGGTGTAAGTAATCTGCCCAAGATTCTGTTTGCTTCTAGAATTCTAAATTATATGGGAGTTGGAGATCAGTTGCTACTAAGGCTCTCTTGAGTATTCAACCAATCTGATCACCTTCCTCCCCAATCCAACCCCCCTCCCTCTTTGAAAGTCTAACATACAGAATACATTATTTCTTAATTAACCCAATTAACAATGATCGGCTATGTCAATATCTGATTGCAGTGTCATCTCCCTACATTCCAAACAATAAGAAATGTTACAAGAGCAGACTAAAGCTGGCAAGATGTCCTATCATATCCTATCATATTCATCCAGGCCAGCTATTGAATTGAAGGCCCACCATGGCTTGTTCAACTAAAACAATAAATATGATAAAAGCTAGCTTGTTGGAACACACTTTCTCTTGATGTTTATTTGATGACTGGATTGCTTTATAGTTTGGTGCAATAATTTATAGGTTTTCCAACATTCCCAATCTCTAGTTTCTTGAGTCTATGAGCTAGAGAGAGAGAGGAAGAGAGAGAGAGAGATTGATTTTTATTCTTATGGAACCGTTTTGAAGTTGTCTTGTTGGTTACGTGTTAGGTAAATGTTTGCTAAAACCCATTCAAAGAGATTAACGAGGGCCAGTCAGTTGCCTTGCCCATCGAAGCATACTTAGATTAACCATCAACAACTCCAAACGATGAATTAAAGTGTCATATGAGTAAATCCAAAAACCACCTCCCCACGTTTGCAGAAGAATGTTTGAAGGTAATATCCTTCCATTAAGAAGAATGAAAATTCTCAAAATCCAACCGCATTTTCGCTACTGGATCCTAGCTCGGTCCATAGTTTTTTTCAGAGTGATGAAATGGTAATGTAAACAAACTGATTGATACATTGTTTATGTTGTAGCCAGCTATATCTATATCTACGTATATTTATCAATATAGACGGCATATGATTAAAAATCATAATCATCTCAGATAATCATTTGGTCTTAACTACGTGGAGTAAGGGATTAAGAACCATATGCATCGGATTTGAGGTTCTTTTTAGGGTTTGAAAATCCAAATTTGACTGCAGAGTGCTAAGAAAAATGTAATTACCAAGACAAAATGGGTTCTTCCTGCTGAAAACACATCACTTAACGGAGGCATGATCCTACGTTATTGTTTCTAAAAAGGCCCGACATTTTCAGACATTCAGAAAGCGATAAAAATATTTGTATATAAGATTGAAAAGGTCTTATCTCCTATGATCTGATCACTCCTCATTAATATAACTAAACTATAGTTTAAGGTACTGTTTTGTAATTAGTTTAATTAGGCGGCGTAGTATAGGCTTGACTTACGATAGCCACGAAATCATACACGCTAAAGAATTCATTAAGTCTAGCTGTTGAGAAGTTAGTATCCGATAATCATCAACGTGTGGATTGACTTTTGGTAAACTAACTCATGTTTGTCAGCATCATCCCTGAAATACTTATTATTTTCCAGTTAATGGCATATATTATTATATTTTGTCTCCTGTCTACCCTTTATAGGGTTCTTCTATGACCCGAGCAACTTGAACTTAACTTGTACTCACCTTAGTTTTGACTCTTTCACGCTCGCTTAAATTATAAAAATAAACTAATTGTCTGATCAAATTTTGTGAAAATCATTTTGTTAATAAAACTGAATTCGAGCATATATACTTAGTTCGACTCGAATAAGTTCTTTTTTATAATAGTTTTAGGTTTACTACAGATAATTACATTTAAAAGATAAACAACTCCAAACCTTTCCAAATAGTTGGAGATCATATGCACTTCTTTCTCTCTTTACTCTAATAGCTTTTTAAACATGGAGAGTTCGATTTTATGATCGCTTAATTATATACATTTTGGGACATTGCTGTTGAAATATATGTTATCTTATAATTGATTATTAAGTTCTTCAATTAATTTTTAATTTTTTTTTTAGTTGAGTTCGAGTTTGACTCAAATGTTATGATGTTCGTAAACAAGCTAGAGCAAGAACTTAAGCTCTATAGTTGAGTTTTGCGCGAGTTTGAGCACCATTAGTTAGAGTGGAGCTTGAGCATATACACTCAATTAGTAAAAATTAGGCTCGTTTAACACGCCTTCTATCAGCATCCTATAGCCATAGCAATTTCAATCAGGGAATCGTCTAGAAGCACCTTGTGAAGGATGGAATCCTCCTGAGAAGCCCTAACTGACAGGGAAGAAGGGAGTCTTGACATTGTCAAAATCACTATAACTGGGGATATTGATTGATTCTTGGCTAAAGTCTCACAGGGAAGAAGGAAAATGGGCAAAAAATTCTTACCAAGATAACAAATGGTTGTCAAGGGAAGACCGAGCTCTCTTGGTTCTTTCCAAAACCTATTGGGGAGAGAACTTTGTAAAAGGAAATGAGTTGAAGGACCCCATATATGCAGGTAAAAGTAACGGCCAATGATGCATCCGGATACAGATGATCATTTGGTCTCAACTAGCTATAGACGTGGAATAACTCTTTTCAGGGAACATTAACGATTTTATGCTAAGGAAATGGTACCCCCACCCCACCCCACCAATATGTCCATTGCTTTTTTTGTTAGTTAGAACATTATAGATCATAAGGCAACTTCTCTCAAATCCAAGAACTCCACACGGAACCAGAAATTATTCATGGCTTAACAGCTTCCTAGAATACGCCTGCTTTTAAATGAAGGTTATGGAGATTCCTATTTGATCCACAGTCAATGGTTGTTACCTAGCTATTAAATCCTCGTTTATAGATAATTTTTTTGGGGGTACTTGTCTTGGTATAACATCCTTTAGGAATTACGTGTAGTTTAGTGTCTTTAGATGTGTGATTAGCCAAGAATATTGCATGATTACTTTAGTTATAGATTGCCAATTACATTGGACTAGACATTAATTGTGTTAAATTGATTAAGTTTTAAAATTTATTTTCTCTTATAGTATTTGTCTGTTTGTGCAAGTAAATGGAGTTAGTTAAAAGTTTATTAGGCAAATGGACAAAAGAGGAAAATATTTTCAGAGCAGCTAGAAGGCAAAAAGAGATCACTGTCTCAAGTATCCAGACGGTGGATCAATCGCATCCGGACGGTGTTAACAGTAGCTGAGTGATAAAGGATGAAGATACGTGTCCGGACGGAGAAGCAAAGGGCGTCGGGACAGAACTTCCAGAGATGCATGAGAAAGACATTGCCAAGTGCATCCAAATATTACAAAACACCCGTCCAGATGTGATGGATAGAAAGGCCAAGATGCCA